GCTTTTTCACTCAATTCAGTTTGAAATAAAACCTAAAAAAGCTTACCCTGAGGACGTATGCACACTGTTTCATTTTAAAGGCACAACTGTTTTGCTCCTGCTTGGGTTCTCAAACAAATTACTTCCTCCTTTTTTTTGCGTCCCTAAAGTTGCACCTTCAGTGAGATGCTTATTTTATATAAAAAAACTGAATTGAATTAAGTCATCTTGGTCATGCCGCCTGTCAAAATGTTAATTGCGACTACACGGACTGACCTCAAACAAATGCTTGCAGAATGGCCGAGATATACTCGCGAGTTGGGTTGCTGTGCCACGCCGTGTGCAAGCGCATAGGAGTGCTGTACCTGTTTATAGTTGAGGTGGATGTAATTGCAGTACTCACAAAAACCACTTGTGGGGCAATAATCAACATAGCAAGCGGAACTGCAGAAAAAAAGAGAAGAAACCCTTGACATCCCACTGCCAAAACGGCTGTGCACAGTATTAAAGAAAAGTAGGTGTGTTTTTGCAGCTTCACAGAAATATACATTGAAATAAAATGGTAGGTGTACCTGCTGCCCACTGAGAGATGTGATAATGGGGAAACCAGCCTTCCTGTTAAGCCCATACTCACCTTTTTGTTTTTTAATAACAGATATAAAAAACGTCTGCTATATACAAGCTGAATGCATTGTATACTATGGGTATACTTTATTTTGCTGTATGTGATGGAACCAGAAACTAAAATCCTTGTTTATACCATGAGTTTGCCATTCATATAAGCAAAGCATGCCTTCCGTGGTGGAAGGCATGCTTTGAGAATTTTCTTAACCATGGTTTCACACCAGGACTTAGAGATACACTCATTCATCGCCCAGACTTAAGTCGCTGAGGTGGTCTAAAAGTCCCACAAAAGTCCCTTTGAATGTTGCTGTAATGCTATGGTTTATACGCCTTATTGACATTTGGTGCCAGTCATTGACAGTGACCGTGGACTAGCAGACTAGAGTGGTGTGTTCCAACTACAGAGGCATCACACTCCTCAGCCTCCCCAGGAAGGCTTATGCCAATGTCCTGGAGGGCAGAGTCTCTGTGTTAAACCTCAGCCTCAGAAGGAGCAATGGTGTTGTTCTCCGGTGCGAAGATTCATGGGAGATATCCACCGGGTCCATGCTTGCTTTGGACCTGGAGAAGGCATTGGACTAGATGTCCCTTGTGGTACCCTGAAGATGGAATATGGAGTCAGTGGCCCATTATGAGGGGTCATCTGGTCTGTATAAATGTAGCAAGAGTTTTGTTGCATTGCTGGCATTGTCAGACCTTTTCCCGCCTCATGTTTGACTCAGCAAGCCTGCCAATATAACTAGTCCTGTTCATAACCCTCATTTGCATGTTTCCAAGCAATACAAGGCCTTGTCTCTATAAAGACTCAAACTCACTGCTGATCCAGACATTTCAATTGAGAAAGCTTCCTGGAGGGGAAGCGAAACGTCTTCAAACCTTGGAAACCTAGTCCAGTGGATTGTTTTTTAAACTTTTACGGAATGACTATGACCTGGATGACTGAGAATCTTCATCAGCAAACCCTCATTGTAAGGACTTCTAGATGCAGCCAAGGGCTAGATGGGAAATCCTTCTGTTGGTGTTCTGGGCACCAGGAGGCCCAGCAAAAGGCCAGAGACAAGATGAAGAGACAATATTTATTGCTTGGGTCTGGAGAAGCTGGAAAAGATATCTGACAAAAGGCAAGTCTTTGCTCAGAGTTCTATCCTCGTGACCTTGTTCCAGATAAAGCGGATGATGAGAAGTAACAGTACAAAATTGTGAATTGATACCTTTAAGCAGGTTTTACATTTGAGGTGATTCTTAGGGTCATGATTGACTGAAAGGTCATTAAATTAAAAGTATGACTCAAAACTGAATGTTGGAGAGGGATAGCTTCTAAATGAGGTCAGGTTCTGGCCATCTGTCTCCTTCTTTCCTGGTGTCCTTGCTTTACTGCTGGTTGAGTCACAGTCATAGTCAGCACTGTTGCCTCCAAGCCTCTGCTAATTCTTCTCTACTTTAATGAGACAACAAAATGGCACGACAGCAAAAGGCAAAAAGTTTTTTGTAGTATAAAAAAATTAAACTAAATGGAGCATAGTCATTATAGATCATAAGAGGAAGAAAACATGGACTGATTCATTTTCAAAAGTTTAATATGAAGTGAGTTCACAAGAGATAAACATGACTGCATTCCTCAGAGCGGTTTGGTATTAAACTTTTACATAAAACAGAAAAACAATCTGACCAGGTGTGTTTAGGGGTAGACAAAGATGTTCTAGACTGAAGTAAATGTAGCTGATATTTACCTGTTCAACACCTCATATTATACTTTATTGGAAATTATTCAGCAAGAAGTGGTTCATAAATAAGAATATCCAACAACATGCTTTGTTTAGCATTGGCAAACAGGCTTTTGCAAGTTTTAACAGCCGCACAATCTGAGGGCCAATCTGTGCTCTTCTCTGTCACACTATACATTTTATAATTTCCTTCATTTGCTTATTACACGCTGCTAATTTCATAAAGTAATTTATAATTTTCAACCTTTAAACCTAGGGCCTGTTTTTCTTCTGCTTGTTAAGTGACATAGTACTGTTTGCCTCTAACTAGCAGCTGTATCCCTAAACTGCCAGGGGTGACTTTGATTGACAGCATCATGAGTTTATCTGGTTGGATAATGAATGAGACAAAAAGCAGGAATTGGTCAAAGGGGCAGAGAGCTGTGCCCTGAGGAGAATGACAAACCAGCTTGAACTCATGTGGGTGTTTTGCTCCTAGCAATATTGTGTCTTTATAATAATGTCTATAAAGGCAAATACATTTTTACTTTTACTTTGAAAACATAAATTAATAATAATACCAATCAGTGGTTTTAGTTTCTATAATGTGTGAAATTTAAGCACTTATCTTGCAAAGTATATTTGATTAAAAAAAAAAAATACTCTGAAATCCTTTTTTTTTTCTTTTTACGACAATTTTTGTTTATTACCCAAAACCCTTCTGTGTGCTGTAAACTGATTAATACTGGTTGTTTTCGATAAAGATCCCAAATAAGCTACAAAAGTTTTGGAAACAAATTAATAAATAAAGTTAAAGTTAGTTCAATTCAATTTATCCATTTTGAATGAAAAAACGTACTGGATGGGAAGTGAAACGTCTTGACATGGTGCTTAACCAAACTCTTAAGCAAGTGACAACTGCAGACACAGAGGCAGATTTAACGGTTTATTTCCTGGTTTAATGGAAAAGTTCTCAGTCAACTTAGACAGCAAAAGAGAGAAAGAGACACTGAGTTTGGATCCTTTTCCGGAGGATGCTCTTGTGTTGGACTGAGGGTGGACAGGCAGGCTGATTGGTCCTGTAAGGAGTCACCGGAGAGGAGACAGTTCCAGAACAGCGAGGAGATGAAGGAAACAGACCTGATCCTGGTTAGGGTCAGGTCTGGTTCTGTGGAAGACGAGATCAAGTAGAGGTTAGAGGAGACTCTGGGAGCTTAGATCATTAACATTTACCTGCTTTACCACTGAGAGAGCGGAACCAACAGGCAGCTTGCTCCAGGAAACTGCTCCAATATAAAGGCCCCCACTGATTGCCATCAAGGAGTAACAGCTGGAACAAGCCTGCCCCCCTGTAAGTAAACAAAACATAAAGACCTAACACTTCTTCTATCTTGGAAACAAGTCCAATGGATTGTTTTTTTTTTTTTGTTTTTTTTTACCTTCCTGGAATGACTGTGACCTTGATGACTGAAAATCTTCACCAGCAACTAAATAATTAAGGCTGTAGTCTAACCATGACCCTCCTTTGCCACATTTTTTCACAGCTTTTATTGTTATTACAGTGTCACAAGTAGAGAGAAATGGTTATATTTTTATTTTGAGGATTTTGGGGGGGGGGGAATTGAGAACAATTCACATACCTGCATCAGAGCGCTACCTGTTTTATCTGTGGACGTTTTCATTCATGCAAAACTAGCAGCAGTAGTGGAGTTGGGAGATGCAATCCATTTCTTAAAGCAAAAATGCAGGCAATCCTTCCGCATTGAAAATGAAAGCAAATTATTTGGTCCATTCTTCTTTTGAATCATCAGCTATCTTCCTTTTTTTCCCTTTGGGATCCATGGCCCAAGACACACCCACAGCTTTCTATGCCTGGCACCGCGCCACGCTGAGACATGTGCTGCAGGCTTTGACCACTGATCTCTATGGCTATGACGCACATTTTCATTGAAATAAATGTTTACATATATCGTTTCAATTATTTATTATACAAATGTTTGCAGCATTGTAAAACATAATGAATGTCTGTTTGACCTCCTTCACACCACATTACAATAAACAATCCAAAAAAAAAAAAATTTCATAAATTGAAAAAGCTCCTGGGAGCTGCAAGGGGGGGCGCTAAAGAGCTGCGTGTTGCCGACTCCTGGATTAAACAATGCTCTGTAAAGGAATGTATGTTTAATACCTGCTTAAAGGCTATAATTTTGAATGCATATTGTAATTCATTTAATATTAATATATTTTGGTATTAAAAAGAAAAAAATGTTTTAAGCAAAGACTATCTATACAGATAAGGATATTATTTATATATATTTAGTATTATATTGACTATCAGATAATGATACAGCAATAATAGGGCATTGTCCTGGTAATTCTTTTAATTTACCACCAAAGCAAGGAGAGACAAAGATGACTGTTGAGGGACAGAAAAAACGTACGTTTTTATAATACCAAAAATAAATGGCTTCTCTATTGTGCTGTTTCAAAAGAAAGTGACTGATACTTCGGGTTCCTCGTTGCTCTACTTTTTGTGATCCAGGGCTCCAGACTAACTAGCTCAGCATATCTATATGTAAACACGTTCTTTTTTTAGTGTTTGATCAGTTAAAGAACACATCAAATGGATATTTGTCAAATGCTGCATTGTTACTGTCGCAGTACCTTAAAACTCCCTGGTGTCGTCTGATACAGGTGCTGAAGGGATGCAAGAAGTTGACCATGTCAGTGTGTTCAATGGGGGGCATCCCAGGAGGGTACATGACCAACCAAGTGTACAGCTGGGTGGACCCTCAGGGCCGGAGTGTGTCTCCACCACCTGATAGCCTGGAGGCCCACCCAAGGCAAGGACACGGCATGGAGGACAGGACGGTAAGACCAATATCTAAATGATGATCCATAGTTTATGCTTCAGCAGATCATGGAGTTATGTATTACTGCAGAGACAGCTTTTTTTTTTTTTTTNTCACCAGCAACTAAATAATTAAGGCTGTAGTCTAACCATGACCCTCCTTTGCCACATTTTTTCACAGCTTTTATTGTTATTACAGTGTCACAAGTAGAGAGAAATGGTTATATTTTTATTTTGAGGATTTTGGGGGGGGGGGAATTGAGAACAATTCACATACCTGCATCAGAGCGCTACCTGTTTTATCTGTGGACGTTTTCATTCATGCTTGAAACAAAACTAGCAGCAGTAGTGGAGTTGGGAGATGCAATCCATTTCTTAAAGCAAAAATGCAGGCAATCCTTCCGCATTGAAAATGAAAGCAAATTATTTGGTCCATTCTTCTTTTGAATCATCAGCTATCTTCCTTTTTTTCCCTTTGGGATCCATGGCCCAAGACACACCCACAGCTTTCTATGCCTGGCACCGCGCCACGCTGAGACATGTGCTGCAGGCTTTGACCACTGATCTCTATGGCTATGACGCACATTTTCATTGAAATAAATGTTTACATATATCGTTTCAATTATTTATTATACAAATGTTTGCAGCATTGTAAAACATAATGAATGTCTGTTTGACCTCCTTCACACCACATTACAATAAACAATCCAAAAAAAAAAAAATTTCATAAATTGAAAAAGCTCCTGGGAGCTGCAAGGGGGGGCGCTAAAGAGCTGCGTGTTGCCGACTCCTGGATTAAACAATGCTCTGTAAAGGAATGTATGTTTAATACCTGCTTAAAGGCTATAATTTTGAATGCATATTGTAATTCATTTAATATTAATATATTTTGGTATTAAAAAGAAAAAAATGTTTTAAGCAAAGACTATCTATACAGATAAGGATATTATTTATATATATTTAGTATTATATTGACTATCAGATAATGATACAGCAATAATAGGGCATTGTCATGGTAATTCTTTTAATTTACCACCAAAGCAAGGAGAGACAAAGATGACTGTTGAGGGACAGAAAAAACGTACGTTTTTATAATACCAAAAATAAATGGCTTCTCTATTGTGCTTTTTCAAAAGAAAGTGACTGATACTTCGGGTTCCTCGTTGCTCTACTTTTTGTGATCCAGGGCTCCAGACTAACTAGCTTAGCATGTCTTTATGTAAACACTTTCTTTTTTTAGTGTTTGATCAGTTAAAGAACACATCAAATGGATATTTGTCAAATGCTGCATTGTTACTGTCGCAGTACCTTAAAACTCCCTGGTGTCGTCTGATACAGGTGCTGAAGGGATGCAAGAAGTTGACCATGTCAGTGTGTTCAATGGGGGGCATCCCAGGAGGGTACATGACCAACCAAGTGTACAGCTGGGTGGACCCTCAGGGCCGGAGTGTGTCTCCACCACCTGATAGCCTGGAGGCCCACCCAAGGCAAGGACACGGCATGGAGGACAGGACGGTAAGACCAATATCTAAATGATGATCCATAGTTTAAGCTTCAGCAGATCATGGAGTTATGTATTACTGCAGAGACAGCTTTTTTTTTTTTTTTAGAAAACAAACATTGAAGACTAGTTTCAAATATTAATTTGTTTAATTATGCTGGGTTTGTCCCCCCACCCATGAAACAGCAGTTTGCTGATCACCATTTAGGCTTCTGACCCTCTGAGGACAGTTAAGATGACCTTTGATGCTGTGACATTTGAAGACACATTTATTCATGCTCCACAGGCCTTTGGCTCTGATCCCAGTTTGTGTAAATCTTTACATTCATGTAAACTGACTCATCTGAACAACACAACAACTGTTCCTGGGCCAGATTAAAATCTCTCTATCACGCTGTTAATGTTTCACTCAGGGTAGAAACCATTTTACTGTCTGATGCTGTGATATGACCATTATCAAGTTTTTTTCTCTAAGTGGAAGAAGATATACCAAGTATGCCTCCCTGTATCTTCCATGGATGGTTAAAATAATGAAAACATGAGCTCCATAGAACATGGAAGGCTGGATGAGTCATTTAAAGAAGAGGTCAAAGAGTCAAATTTCTTTGACTCTGTGATGAAAGCAGCATTTTTATTTTAGAATTTATGTCAGTTTTATATTCACTTATTACAGATCTTTATTTTATGTGTAAAAAATCCTGGTTCTCTGCTTTAGGTCATCCCACAGATCTTTACTAAGATCTACTCCTGGGGACTAAATAGGGATGGAAAAAGTAAATTTTCTATTTGCACACATATGGAATAAATTCACAACTACTTCCATTCAAAATATAATAAAATATTAACTCAATTAATTCAACTCCAGGTTAAACATATTTCAGTTAAAAATGTTAACTGTGCTAGTAAAACTCAACTAAATGAATAAAAAAGGCTAATTAAGATGGTTGAAAGCCATTACCAATAGAATAAAGCAATGAAATGACAGCATTTTTTTCAGAATCAACATATTACATCAAATTAACTTTTGCACTAATGTAGAGGTATTGCTGTGTGTTAAAACCAATTCACCAATGCAAATCTAAGAGGTAGATAATTAATATTATTTTGGCAAATCAGTGTTTAAAATACAAATACTGATTTGTCTTATCAGAATCTAATAACCATTTAGGTAACTGATTCCTAATACCATGTAATTATGCTTAAGGGAATAACAATGGGTTCAAAATAGCAGGAGATAAATGTTTGATTACACTAGAGGGCACTCAAGGTGATGGGTGGTTGGTTGGATGTGCTTATTTTGCTGTATTTAATTATGTTAGACAAAGGACCTAACGGTTCGTAGACAAGAGGGAACTTGTTTTAAAGGACTCTTCGTTCCTGATTTAGCAATCAAATGTAATGAACAAATTACAAAACACATAAACATTAATGCCATATTAATATTTAAACCCTTATCGAAATACAGTTTTTCATAACTTTATAAAGAGATCTCAAAACTTGTTGGGCATGTACTTCAGTTAAATTCATTATTTTAAATATCGCCAGTTCCAAACACGTGTAATCTAATGGTGCTTTTCAGAGACATTACAGTCAGATTGGTTGAAAGTTTTTGTGAAGAAAATCGGTTGATTGCATTAATTCATTGACATGCAAGACATGCTCCCCCTTGAAGAGCTTAAAGGAATAGTACACCCAAAACATGATTAGC